TAATTTCACTCTAAATTTTTTTTTATTTAATACAATTAATTATAATTTTAAAAATATAATTCAAAAATATTCTATTTATAAAATACTGAAAAATACTCATTTGTAAAGTAATAAACAATACAATTTTATATATAAAAATGCAAAAAACATATAAAAAAATTGTTACTTATACTTCAATATGAGAAAATTTTTTCATGTTCTAAAAAATTTCTTTTTTCATTTTAATATCTAAAAACTATATTGATCAGCTATCAAATAAAAAAAAATCAGATGACTTTTATTGAAACTTGTAAACTTTTATATAACCTAAAAATCTTCAATTTTACTATATATTACTAAGTAAAATTTATAAAATCTGGTAATTTATTGTAAGGCAGTGTCATAGGAAGAAGTTCATGTGATTAGACAATCGATTTCAATTGAATTTATACAGTTTAAAGTACTTTTTAGAAAATAAGGTTTTACATAATTAAAAAATTTTTTTTTTACAAATAGCTTCATTAGAACGTTAAAATGTTATTTTCAAAATTAATTTCTAATAATCTCTAATTTAAGGAGTGTTTACTTAGTAATAAAGTTATGGTTAGAACAAAGAAACTCAAAGAATTGTGCATTATGAAAATTTGCAAAAAAATGGCAGTAACATAGTGAACTGTTACTGAAATGGTGATATCTCATGAAAAGGCCAGTGAGACACTTTCTGAGTATGTTAAAGAAAATGATATTATATGCTTAAATTGTTATAATGCAATTGTTATTAACAAATCTTTTGAATTTAAATAACATATATTAGAATGATATCATAATGAGCTAGAAATTTCTAACAATGATATTTTGTTTTTTTTCACAGGCTATAGAAATAATTACAAAGATTCTCTATGAAAAGGAATGTAAATTATTATCACTAATTTGAGAATTCATAAGCTTATGGAATTAGGAGACAGATGATTGAAACATTTTTTGATGAACTATATATATCAACCAATCCGTCAACAAAAAACAAGAATACAATGAAAAAAGTATCAAAGCAATTAGTATTTTTATGTTATTATCTTTGTAGCATTAGAAATAAATTTATTAATAATATAAAAAGAGATCTTGGAATGTATTTAAATTCAACAGAAATACTTAATTCAACAATTGATACTCTGGTGATACTAGGTTTATCGATAACATCTCATACTATTTCTTATTATAAGAATGCTGTGTCTAAAAACATCCAATGACTGTAGAATTGAGGCTTTTAGAAAATGCGAATAATGTTATGATTTTAAATATTGACGATTATCATAACATCTATACTAAAAGAATATTTAACACAGTTACAACATTAACTGCAGTACATCTCGCTATTGTTTTATTTAATCTGATAGAAAATGAGCTAGCAATACCAAAGTGAGATATTCATAATCCTGCATTGGTTGATGCTTTATTAATCAAAACTGGTATTGATAACTATTTGATGTCACTATATTCATTCTCTCATAACTAGCGTTGAGGATTCCATTCTGTGGATAACAAAATAAAACTTGAAGAACTAATGGCCTATAGTTATAATATTCGTTTAAAAGAAAAGAGAAATGCTTGATTAATAAAAGATGTAGTGCTTGCAGACTTTTTGAAAAATGATTTTTATTCAGTACAATCTTACATTAATGCTACTAATGCAGTCACTTCTATCCCTACAATTGATAGGTATATTAAAGCAGGCAATGTTATTCTGATCGTAGCTGATTGGCCTGATCAAATTTATATGAGAACAGCTATATCCTGATATCTTGTTTATGGCAGTTCTTCTGAAATTACAGATGAGATTTTATCTTACCTTCTGATGATAGATCCTTTGCATGTTTTCTTAAATAGCTGTAAGTTAGTCTTTCTCAAATACCAACTATTTTTTTCTGTAATGTACAAATATATATTTGGCGAATGAAAACTACTTGCTCAGAAGCTGAAGCCATAATGTATAAACTTATTATTAGAACTTTCATATAGTACATGCAGGAAATTGCACTAATAGTTAAAGTAAAATTTGATCATGTATGTAAAGATATAGAATATATTACACTCAAGGATCTATTAGACAATATAATTCTTCTAATTCTTGATATTTATACTTTATTTTTTCATACTGGCAATTTTAACTCTTATATTAAATCATATTTTCAGATTTGGACTATTTTTCTTAAATTTAATTGTAAAAACTATACTAACTTTAATGTTTTTATCAGATATTTTTTACTGGCAATCGAAAGATCACTCAATTTTGAAAATAATGAAAACAGAATTACCAAAATTCTCTGATTTTTCCGTTGAAATCTTTCACAGTCTTTTGCAACGTAATATAGAAAAATATTTTACAGAAAGTTAAATAATAAAGGAAGTATGGTACATTAATTATTTATGATTGAATGATGATAGATTCAAAGAAAATTTTGTTTACACTTCAATTTGGGCAGTATATTAGTATTCTTTACAGGATATTACAACATTAACACAAAAAACTGCATGCTTTCTTTTAAAATTTTTCAGATATTTATACTTGTAAAAATTATGAAAAAATGCAATTTTTAATTTTATTATAGGTTACTATGAAAGGCTCATCAAAAAAAAGAAAAACTAATGCTAAAATCAGTTTTTTATTTCAATAATAAAGATGAAGAATGCACAGCTTTGTCATTTATCTTTAAGATATAATTTTTCTAATAAGCTTAACTTGTTTGGTTGTGATTCTTCTAATTGTCTTATTACTAATATTACATTTAATAAAGAAACAGGTCAGATACTATCATGTAGTCATACATATCATAATATATGCTTTAGCCTAAACGGATTCAAGTGCTTGCATTGCTTAAATTATATAAAGTCCGATATTAATGAACATATACAATCACTTTTGGATCATTTATGACAATCTAATTCAATTAATGAAATTGAGAATGAAGAACCTAACTTTATTTCTGAAGAAGATCACAATAATAAAGAATCTGTTGATGGTATCTCAGCTTCCTGAAACATTGCAATACTATAGTTTATTCAACAATGATTAAAATTATTATGTAAATATATAGTAATTATAAGTTATTTAAATATATATATTAAATATGATATATATGAATTTAAAATACAATTTTAATAAATTTTTGAAATAATATAAATAATATATAATAAATAAAATTTATGCTTTTATTTTATTTAAATTTTATTTAAATTTACATTTAATTTAATTGGTTAAATTGATATTTAAATTAATTGGTCAGTTATTGTTTCTTTTGAGTCGTCAAATTAGCCAATCACATGAATTTCTTCCTATGAAGGGCAGTGTATTAAGTATAAGGTTTTATTTAAGTAAAATATATATATAATATATTATATTGAAATTTCATAAAAATTATATTATAAAACTTAATGTTTTTATAAAATTTTTATATAAAAAATTTTTATTGAATATATTTATTTACAGAATATCACTTTATTTTGCAAAATTAACATTACTATTTTTTTATGATTTACTTATTAGTTGCTTTGTTTTACCATATAATATTATTAATCCTATTTGCTTTTATAATTTACTTACTAGTTGTTTTACTTTACTTTACAATATTTTATCTTATTTACTTTTATATTTACTTACCAATTGCTTTACTTTACTTTGTAAATTTAATATCTCTATGATTTAATTACTAGTTATTTTATTTAGCTCTACAATATTGATATTTTTATTTATTTTCATGATTTATTTATTAATTACTCTATTTAATTTTACAATATTAATATTTTTATTGCTTTTATAAAATTAGAACTTTTGATATTTAAAATGATAATTAAAATATGTGAAAATTTTTTTTTATATTATAAAATTAGAAAATATTCTTAATATTCAAAAATACTTTTTAGAATTTTAAAACATAATATTCTTATTTTATATTAAAAAGGTAATAAACTTTTATATTATATAATAATTAATATTGAATATATTTTAAAACATATTATGCTTATTTTATTTTAAATGCCTATTTTTTATTTTTGTATTTTTTATTTTTTTTAAATAATATTATAAATTCATATTTTTCAAAAACTTGTTAAATAATTTTTAATTTTACTATATTATTAATATTTATAAATATAATAATATAAAGAAATTATTATATATTTTACTATAAAAAGAAGTTATTATTTTTATTATTATTTTTAAAATTATTATTGAATAGTTATAAAAGATATAGTAATTATAATTATTATTAAATATAAATAATACAACTTATTTTAAATAAATATTAAGATATTTTATTTTTTTACTTATTTAATTGATTATCATAATTTTTATTATAATATATTATTATAAAGATTTAAAAACAAATATTTTATTTATAATTTCAGTTAATTGATCTTATACTGTCTTTATTATTATAATATTTAAATTATATATTAAAGTTTAAGATTGCATTCAATTTTCAGATTATTTATTTATTTAATGTTTTATTACTTTTATTTTTGGTAAAATTAATTTAATATTATTTAACAAATAATAATATCTATTTTTAATATATTTATAAATATTTGTTTTATTTTAAATAGAATATAATATATTTATAATATTGTTTACTATATATAAATATATTAAAATTATATTAAAGTAATAATTTAATAAATAATAATCTTAATAAAAGAATTAGCTATTTATTTATTTTTTTTTTTTTAAGAGATAATCATAAATCGTTAATTATTTGATTATTATCAATTAATACGATTTGTTATTTTTTAAAAGTTTATAATTATTTTAACCTTTTGACTTTTTATCTTTATTGATTTTAGAAAAACCTTTTAATTTACAATAATAATAAAATTATACACATTAAAATTATTAAGGGAGACTTAAGATAAAAGGTTAGATCAAAGATATTTGTATATTACCGCTATTACCACCACCTATATATAATCCAAAATGTGTGACGTCTTTAATAAACACACTGTAATAATAATAAATTGAAAAGATTTGTTTAGCTTCCATGTCTCGTTCCGATTTGATACAAAACTTTCTTTTTTAGTTTCTTTTTTTTCTTGTTTACTTCTTTTGTACTTTCACTATATGAGGAATCATCTTCACTATCATTTTCATTTTGATTATTGTCAGATACTGTAGATGCAAATGCTCCACCTTGTCCCCATGCATTTTTTTCTTGCCCATCATTTTTGGATCTAGAAGATCTTGGAGTCGACGTTAAGTTAGGAAATCCACTATTTTCAGCTTGAGTAGGTTTACCTTTAACAAAAGCCGTAGTACATGAAGAAGTAGATCCATTAGGTGAAGGTGATTGAACAAATTGCGGTTCAGATCCATTATTATTATTAGCAGAATTATTAGCAGAATTACTAGAAGCGGTTGTGAGTGAAGGAAATGCTGAATTCTTTCTTTCCTTGTTTTTTGATTCAGCAATAGCAGCTATTTGATCCCAGACAGGAGTGCCACTATTTGTTTTTTTACCACGAAATCGGGTAGTTGAAGATTTAATAACTAATACACGAGGCGACGGTTTATTCGAAGAGGGTGAAGAGGGTGATCTCGAATTACTAATCACACCAGGTGTGGGTGAGGATACCGGTTCTAAAGCGGGGAATTCAGAAGTTCGCTGCAATATAAAATAGTAAAGTTAATGTAAATGTAATCGTAATTTAACAATTGAAAATTTATGTAACTCACAAATGCTTACCTTAGCTTTATGATCTTGCAATGCTCTCAACAATTCAGTCCTCTTTTTCTCCTCTTCTATTATTTCTACCAAACCATTCACAACTTTACCAACAGTACCTGTATTTTTATTAAACAAAGGCAACAAAAATTCTATATACGAAGATGCATCAAAAGTTGAATTATTGTATGCTGCAGTCAATGATTTAAATTCATCCATCTTAGCAGGATTATTGGATAGGAACGTATTAACACGTTGATAAAAACCAACATCACGACTAAAAAAAAAAAAATAATAATTAAACAATTAGGAACCTGCCCAAAGTAATACTTTGATGAAAAGGAAAAGAAGAAATACCTCAAAGGTTCCGAATCAATAACACTAGAGAAAGCCTTTAACCTGGTATTACTACTAATACTACTTGTTGATGCCGAAGTTGAAGTTGATTGATTCGCGGAAGGTAAAGGAGGAAAGGCAGGAGCTTTTCCTTTATTAGTAATATTGGATTCGGATAATGGTGCTTGAGGGGAGTTAGGGAAGAATAAACTCCTATTACTACTACTACTACTACTACTACTAACACCCGGATATAGCGGAGGTGTAGGTGTAGGTGTAGGTGATAATTTCGTAGGCGTAGATTTATTACTAGGCTTTTTCTTATTAGCTTTTATTTTGGCAGCATAATTTATATTTGTACCTGAGCCATTATTAGTAGCAACCCTCATTGAAGCGTTCAAAGCAGGGAAGTCTTCTTCCCGTGGTGTAGAGAGCATATTACGTATTTCTAATTCATTTTCTGATGGTAATTCATTCTCTGGTCCAGTCACTTCGTCAGGAGACAAAACACCAAAACCTGGTGGTGGTCTCACTGCTCTTGCATTAAAGTTCATTTCATTGGCATTGCTAGAAGTGGTATCTAAATTAAGATTCTGCGTTTGACGTGCAGTTTCATCAATGTCGGCACTTATAAAAGTGCCACCACCGTCGCCACCACCACCACCACCACCACCACCACCACCAGCAATCCGTCTATCCGACTAAATATTTAAAAAATATTTAAAAATTTAGACACTTTGACTAATTTCAAATAAAATATTTAACCCAAAAAAAGTACAAAATTTAATAATATTTTTTAAAATTTTTTTTTTTGCACTTGATTATCTCGTGTTAAAATGATGGGGTGACTTGTTCTGATATTCTTACCTGTCTTTCACGACTTCTCCGACGTCTCCTCTCGCGTGAATCTGTATAGTTAATGTCAATCGCAATTGTCCTTGCCTCACGTCTAGCTCTTTGTCCACTGAAATTAGACTCATGAACTTCAACCTGTTTGAACATTCATGATATTTATTTAAAATATAATTCGCTACATTCCTTTCTTTAAAAAGAAAAATAAAGTTAAACTTACATCATGAGCTTTGAAGTCAATTTCTGATTCAAACACGACAAATTTTTTCTCCAAGCATTTTTGGTTTGGACAAAGATAGTGTTCCATATTGAAATGATTTTCCTAAATATTAAAAAGGAAAGGAATTATGTATAAAATAAAATTAATAAAATAAAATGATTATTTATTATACATACCAATGAATTATAATCAACATAATAAATATGTCTTATACCATTTTTAACACAAATAAAACATTGTTCATGAGAATGACGACAATGATCGTAGAGTTCGTCATCGCCATAAAAGAGTGTTTCACAAAATTGACATTCAGGATGTCCACTGAAACCCGTTTCTTCATCACCATCACGACAATGCTTATCAAGTTCATTGGAGGTGAAAAGAGTATGTTCATGTGCGAAGATTTTTTTATTATGAGTACAAATATCACTAATAATTAAGAATTTATATTTAATGATAGTTCAACTTGAAACACTTTCTAATACATCTTACCATAACTTTAAACGATGATCTTTTCTAACGTGTCGCCTCAATTCTCCCCATCCATCACAAGACATTTCACAATCTTTATCTGGACAATTAAATTTCAGAATGAGCATTATATCATCAAACATTTCTTGATCCTCACAATAAATATTTAATCTTTTGTCAAAGAAGGGAATATCTTCATCCTGGAATTCTTGGAATTTTTTATCGGGATTTCGGGTAAATATAACCTTAATTCGTTCTGTCTGGATATATTAGGATCAAATTTAGAGTTCTAGTTAATCATGATTATATTTTGATTAGCATCAAATAATAATTACCTTACAGTAAGCGCAATCTTTAGATTTATATAGTGCTCTTAACCTCAACGAACACACATGACAAGATTTATGGTTACATTCCGGAACGGCATAATATTGAACGGGTTCAGCGCAGATAAAACAATCGTTTTCATTTTGAGAACCTTGATCCCCGTCCGAATTATGATTAACAACGATTGGTGCAACTATTTGGCTTTGACTAGCAATATTTATAGTTTGTTCTCGAGGAGTAGAGTGCCTATTTGGGCGGTAACCTCGATGTCTACGATAGCTGTTGTGGCGACGATTTCCCCTATTGAAATGCTCAGGACTAGTAATTGGAAAGGCTTGGGAAGCGTTGGACATTATAATTATTAAAAAGTTTGTTGTAGATTAATGTTTTGTGAATCGTAGTAAACTTGAAAGAGTTTATTTCAATAAATGTTCGGATAAACTGTTTTTTTAAAAAAAAATGGATGATGACCATATTACTAATCACTGCGGCTGCGGCATTCAAGACAAGTTTCGAAGTTGCAAATGAATTCTTTAGAATTTGAATCAAAGACGACAACTGTTCCAGAAGAAACTGGTAAAAAAGAATATTGGATATTCGGATATGGTTCTCTAGTTTGGAAACCGCCACCAGTATACAATAAAAAGTTAATATTTTGTATATTTATATTTGAAATCTTATTTCACGAGATTTGGGAGAGTCAAAACTAAAAATATGTAATACTTTAGATTACCAGGATATATTAAAGGACATGTTCGGAGGTTTTGGCAGGCATGTACTTTCTATCAAAATAGAGTTTATTGGCACCTTAAATTTAACGATCCGAATATTTCGTGATATTATTCTTCAGCGAAGTACAGACCATCGAGGAACTATAGAAAAACCAGGTCGAGTTGTTACATTGATCCCTATTGAAGAGTGGAAATTACTTGACGATTTTGTAAGTCAAGTCTTTTTTTTTTTTTCTTTTTAAAACAAAAATTATATGATAACAATATCGATTAATTCAATTTGATTCTCTAGCATGATCATAAAGAAGACGATGTTACATGGGGTATTGTCTATAAAATCAGCGAGGAAGACATTAAGGAGATGATGGATTATTTGGATTATCGAGAGAAGGTTCAAATATTTAGAAATTGATTTATTTGAAACAAGTTTACATATGAATTTTTTATTTTATTTTATTTGTAGAATGGATACACCATACATTATTTGGATGTGTATCAGCTTGGAAGTGGAGAACCCATTGTAAAGAATGTAAGTCTTTATCCGTTCTTTTCAACTGATCGTAAGGAGTCAAAAATCAACTTCTTTATATTAGGCGATGGTATATATTGGTACAACCAAGAATGAAGAATACGTCGGACCAGCTCCTCTGAATTCCTTGGCTCAACAAATATATGAATGTATTGGAAAGTAATTTATTGCTAACTTTATAGTTCAATGAATTATTATTATTATACTGTATGTCGCGAACTAATCTAATTCTCATTTTCTCTCAATAGGTCCTAGCGGTTCCAATCGAGAATATTTACTTAAACTTGCATCTGCGCTTAGAGAAATAGCACCAGACGCATATGATGGTCACCTATTTGATCTAGAAGAAAGGGTCAAAAGCATGATCAAACGTTCAGAAATATTATAGATTTATATTTAAAAGTTTGTTCTTAATTATAATACGTTCAAATAAAGGTTCAAACATTATAGTTGTGACGGCAAAAAGTGACCTCGCCCTGTTTTATTAAAAATTATGAGATTGATACATCCCACTCCCTTGCCATAAAATCTCCCGAATAACACTAATCATAACATTATCTTTTCAACATTTGTCGAAGATCCAGAGTCAACCAACAATTTATAACGTTCATGAGAGCGATTGTCTCATTGTCTTGATGGAGAACCCGAATGCTTGTTCAAATTTTTTGAATGAACTTGTGCAAGCCGATGGTTCAAAACATCCTCACGCGTGAACTTTAAAAGATACGTTTTGGTTTTATATCCAAGCTTTTTCTTAACCGTTCGGGCTGCAATATTAAGACAAGGGTATGTTCTTAAGCATTTCAGAAGGTATGCTTTAAATCTATTGTTCAAGATGTTTGATCAACCCATCTATATAGAGTAACCCAGTCGTATTTTTAAGTGTGAGGAGACGGCGATCTCAGATTTAATTGATCGATCCCTTTAATATGATGGAACCATTTTGATGAATCTAACAATGTAGGGAAAATGAAAATGAAAAGAGAGAACATTCCCATGCCTATCTTGATTAGCATAAATTAAGAATAAAGATCTATAAAATCTTAAAAGTAATTTCAAATGAAAAGTCAGATATCGCAAAAAAAAAAGATGAGTGACGTCATGTATAATTTATATTATTTTTTATGATAGTATCTTTTATTATGATTATGCTTGATATTCTTTAATAAAATAAAATCTATTTCCCGCCATTTTGTGAAATAAATTGATTTCAATTAAAAGAAAATACAATAATACAGAATGGTCAAATTTTTAATTAACCGTCAATTTCCCGTCCTAAATAGCAATGAAGATTATTTCTTATGGAAGATCAATTAACACTTTTAGTATACGTTGAAAAAAAAAAAAATTTAAGTGATAAAGTATAAAGTAAAGATGCAGAAATTTTTGTTTTAGCCTAAATTTCTTCGAAGATTTTTTTTTAATTAATTGATTTTAAAAGAATAAATAAAATTAAAAATTAAAATGATCCTCGAAAATTTTGAAATCAAAATTATATATAGTAACATTTATTAATCGATGACGATAAATTCGGTGTTGTATTATTATAAACATTTAAATGAACTTTTTTGTGTGTGTGTGGGGGGGGGGGGGGGATGTTTTGAGAAAACAAATTTCTTCTATATTTCAATCTTAATCGTAAATTTAGATATGATGATCACAGAAAACTATTTTCAATAATAGATTTTTTATGATTTACATCCTAAATCCCGAAATTATATTTGAATTCTTGGAATAAAATTCATTAAAAAATATAATTAGTTTATGTTATTGACAGAAACAAAAAAAAAAATTAAAACAGAAATAATTGTGAGATTGTCCAAAACAAATAATAATAAAATAAAAAGGAGAAAATCAAGAAATCGGAAGTCCCCATTACAAATTTTTATCGAATTTTTCGTTATTGCGAATGTTTGATGTAGATACTGAAGAATCTGTAGATGTTATTTTGATAGGGAATAGGTTTCGTTAAAAAAAAAAAGAAGGAAAGAATTTTTTATATTATTTCTCCACTCGCACTAATCCAGATCCATTTATGGAAGTATAACCGTTTCCGTTAACATCAACATTACCATTAGCAGTATAATCAAAACCATATCCATCATCTTCTTTCTCTTCATTATTTTTTGAAAGTGTTTGCGTGGGTAATTTATTAACATCCATATATTCTTTCTTTGGTGGATCAGGTTTACTATACATATATGTAGCAATTAAAACGAGTGTGGCCCCAAGCAAAAATGTTGTGGTGACGATGAATTCAAAGAGGTAAACGGAAGCGAGGAAACTAAGAATAATTGAAATGGATGTGGCAAATCCTTTAAGAATGTTATCCGCATATTTGACTACCATAGCGACGATAATACCACCGATAGCTTGACATGAAATCGCTGCCAAAACCACGTAATTGTAATTATAAAAGAATCCATTTTCCCAAACTCCTGCTCCATCTTTCCACCAAACCCCCATGATTAAAGCGGGGAAGAGTGAAAAGAATGAAAGTTGAACATTTCGAATCCAAACGGATGTCTTGCTACCTTTGAGAACTTTTTCGAAATATACACCAGCGATACCAGAAATTACGCAGGCTACGGCTACAGCTCCTAAACCCACAAATCTTTCCATGCTAGCATCATCATCAACAATTGTTTTACTTCCAGAAGAATCACTTGGCATTTGAACAAGTGCAACACCAAAAGTGAGTAAAACTAATGAAGACCATTTTAATCCACTTAAAGAAGTTCGGAGCATAATTACTGAACATAAAGCGGTTGTGAGAATTTTCAACTGATAAGTGACCTGAAACGTTGCCGCGTCAAGCATGCTTACGGCGACATACTGCAAATTATTTTGAACCGTGTAGAGAGCTGCCGGGATCATTAATTTCCATGCGTCGGGAGCAAACACTTGAGTGTAAAGTTCTGAAATACTCAACCGTCCAGTCTCACGTATTTGATTTCGTCCGGCCATATAAAGACAAATAATGAGCTTGGTAAACTCGGATAGAAATACGGCCGTTGATGTATAATATAAATGCTCCTTATCGAGTCGAGAATACCTCATTATTATTACTAAAGTACTATTTTGAATACATAGTGTGACTAAACTGACATATTTCAAAGGAATACCTAACATCGTTGCACTTAATGCCATTATTAAAGATTTTTTTTTTTACAAGAAAACTCGAGATGAACGAGGGGTAAAGGGTTAAAAGGTCAAAGAGTAAAAAAAATTGTTCCCTTTTTGATGTTTTTGGAAAATTTTAACAAAGGTTAGAACGTGTGTAACTTCGATTAGTACAACTTTGCGTGTTCATTTAAAACTTTTTTTTTCAATCCCCCTAAACCCTAACTTTATTAAATAAATCGGAATGAGCGAAATTTATATGGAGCTGATTTGCATGAATCATAAAATTGTTTTTTCATTTTACAATTCCCCCAATGTCAAAAATAGAAAATTAAAACTATATATAGAAGTTGATTTTTTGATTGTTCAATGATAAATTCGGAACCAACGGGTAGATAAGGGCAGCATTATTCTATGTGATAAGATGTTTGATTTTTTGCTCAATAAAAGTAAAAGGATAAAAGAATTTACCTGATGGATACCTAATTATATGATACATTTGATGATCGAATTTCTTTATTTTACTCGTTTTGGAAGGTAGCACAAAGTTTTGTCGAACTTTCCTTTGTTGGCTCCGTTGTGATTTTTTTCTCTATACTCTTAATTCCTCGTCTTTTTTTTTTAAAACATATCTCATTTATCTCAAAATATGACTCATGAAAGAATTGAAAAAAATGGATCGATTGCCAATACATTAAGGGCTTTAAAGAATCCTCCACTTCCTCCACTTCCAGGTAAACCCTTTACCATTTCGATTGTTGGTGCTGGTCAAAGGTAAATTGTTTCCAATTATCGTATATTATGCGCGTGATATATTACCAATTTCAATTGTGTTTCAGAGGTGCTGGATACGCGTTTTATGCTGTATCGGAACCGCGATTGGCCAAAGTTGTTGCCGTTGCTGAACCGGTTGAAATTCGTAGAAAAAACATGCAAAAGGTTGAATTGAACTTGTATTACTTTTAGAAATTTTATATTTTATTGCATTTGAGTTTTTGATATAAGATTAAAATGTATACTGTATATAATAATGGATATTTTATAAATCGAAAAGACTAAGCCTCTCTGAAACGTTCGTGAATCTTTAATTTTCAATTATTAGACATATAATATTCCTGACGAGAATTCATTTAGCGATTGGCGAGAAGTGTGTGATTTTTTTTTTTATTTTCAAAGAAAATACGTTCGGATTCATTGAAATCTTTGAATTATTAGCTCGCAAAACGACCTAAACTAAGTGATGCGGTGGTAATTGCAACCTTGGATCATTCTCATACAGAACCTGCAGTTGCATTTACAGATCTGAAGTATCATATTTTATTAGAAAAACCAATGGCTGGAAATCTCGTAGATTGCAAAAAAATTTTTGATGCAGCCATTAGAAATCAAGTATTTTATTAATAGTATTAATGAAATTTAATAACCAATTAGTAAAAAATTTACGGGATTTTGAAATTTTAATTAGGTCGTGTTTGCTATAGGTTTGTGCTTTTTTCATATGCAATTTTCTTAAAATAAATCCGATTCAACCCTCAAACTCTATCATTCATGTTAGGTCACGTGCTAAGATACACTCCACATAATCTCCTTATTAAAAAGATTATCGATTCAGGTTTATTGGGAAATGTCATTAACATTCAACACATAGAACCTGTGGGAAATTGGCACTTTGCTCATTCGGTAAGAAATATCAGTACCTTTTTTGACGTGCGTGACGCATCATTTTTAAAAGAATTTTTTTTTTTTTGATTTTCAAAGTATGTAAGAGGCAATTGGAGAAAAGAGCAAGATTCTTGTTTCTCTCTTATGACCAAGGTGCGTTTTTTCAAAATTAATCACAATATTGCCCGCAATTAACATTTACTTGATAATTTGTTAGTGTTGCCACGATATTGGTAAGCAAAGAATTTCAGATCCATATATTATTTTAAAATTGAATTAATTCACATTAAATTATAGATTTGATGGCGCATTGGAATGATTCTCCTTGTGTGGTACTTCATATTTTAATACATTTGCATTCGAGACCAATTGCTACATTATATTATAGAATTATATAAGGATCACCTTTATTATAGAAAATTAGTTCATTTGGGAATTTATCACACTTTACTTCAAAGAATAAACCTACTGAAGCTGGGGAAGCAAAGTATGTCGCGTAATTCCTTTTTTTTTTTTTAATTATAAAAAAAAATTAAATCATTTTATGTAGACGATGTTTGGAATGTGCATATGAGCCTTCATGTGCATATTCCGCAAAGAAAATTTATATCAAATCACTGAAGAATGGAAATCGGGACTGGCCTGTTAATGTGGTTACGGATGTTGTTGGTATAATGAAACTTTTCTAAAAATAACGACGTGTTGCAAGCGTTTATGCTAAATTATGAATTCACCCGCATTTAGATATTGAACATTTGGTTGAAGCATTAAAGACTGGACCATATGGTCGATGTGTTTATGAATGTGATAATGATGTTGCGGATCATCAGGTGCGTGACGTTACCGTGTGAAACAAAAATATTCAATTAGCTTTGTTTTAAATATCATATTTTTTTTTCATATGATAGGTGGTTAATATGGAATTTGCAAGTGGTGCTACAGCATCTGTTACAATGATTGCTTTTACTGAATCTATATGTACAAGAAAGGTAAGAACTTCTAAAATTGACATATTTAATCTTCTTTTTTCAGTTTTTTATTAAAAAAAAAATATGTATATATTTATTTATTTATAAAAAGACTAGGTAAAGAATTCTATTAGAAAAATGTTTTTTATTCTAGACATAAATGAATTTATCAATTTTACAATCTATTCAATCAAAGAATTTTTGGATCTCTTGGAGAGTTGGAATGTGATGGTCTGAACAATATAAGTTATTATAGTTTTCAAACAAAAAGAAAAGAACTTTTACGAGCAACAGATATCATTGGTGGAAGTATTTCGGGCGGTCATGGTAATTTTAACATTGTTTTCTTATAATTTAAAATATTAAGGAGATTAAATGTTATGATCAATTATTAGGTGGAGGTGATTTTGGATTAATGCGATCATTTCTTTATGAGATTGCATCGAAAGATCAATCTATCAAATATTTGTCGGGGGCTGAAGAATCATTAGGTAGGTTTAATGAACCAGAAAAAAAAATTAATACATAAAAAATATTTCCATTGTGTAATTCTTTCTGTTTTCAACTAACCTTTATTAAACATTGTTAATTCATAAACAGATTCACATATTTATGTATTTGCCGCGGAACATTCGAAAAGATCCGGAAACGTTGTTAACATTGAACAATTTAAACATGAAAATGGAATTGAAATTGTCAACAATTAAGTAAATCAAGATGTATCAATAAATTCATCATTGATTTTATTTAATGTATTAATATTAATTTTTTTTTTTTCAAAAAGAAACGAAAATAAAGAAGACTACCGAAATAATTTTAAAAACAAATCCAATTAAAATGATAATATGATTGTTCAATAATTCGAATATTAGTATTATGCGATTATATATAAAATTTTCCCTTGATTTCTTTGATTTAAAATAATAATATTACATGAGATATAAATTAAATTCTTTAAATATAAATATAAATAAATAAATATATATATATATATATATATATTGCTAGAAATTAATGATAATCGATCCTATTTTACACCGGTAATTTTGATCCTGCCAGCTTATCAACGACCTACAAAGGGAAAACGATTTTGATTAATAAAAGATGATTATTAAGTAAATGATTATGAAGATTGAGCATACGTTTGAAATATATGGCGCACAGAGTATAGTTCCTATGATCGGTAACTGTCGTGAAAACCTTATAATCACCGGGAAGAAATCCCTGTAATTAAAGAAAATGAAAAAATTTAAATGAAAATTACAATTGGATGAATCAATGTATATAAGTTTCGTACCCAAATAAATTTAAGAATCCAAAAAATTCAACAATCATTCCCAAAAATGGCATTTTAACGAAAACCAACAATATTATCCCACCAAAGAAGAAGATTGTTCCTCGAATTTTATCTTTACGAGCAAAAAAAAATATAATTGTTTTCTTAAATCCAATAATTAACGTTATACCTGAAAGAAATAATATCTAAAAATTGTAAGGAAATTAAACGTTAAAGTCAAATACATGACGAAAATTTGATTAAAATCGTGATAAATCGTTGTAAACTTACATTTCCTATGGCTAATAATCCACCATCAAAGAATAACAGAATACCAAGTACCATCATAATTATACCAAATGCTGTTAGCCCAACCCCAATCTCTAAAATTCGAATAATGTTAGTGAAAATATTTAACGATTTCAGTCCTACAGCACAAAAAAAAAAGGAAATAAGATAAAACATACTCTGAGTATCTGATAACCACATGGTTTATTAGAAATAAGTGTAAAGAGTAAGAAAGCGTTGTATAATTTAAATTCAATTTTTCAAACTTTTGAGAGTTTTTCCGAAACGTGTCCATTTTAAATTGGCTGAAAAATCTTCTTGATTTAGTAACGATCTTTGACACTTAGAACAGTTAGTACAGTAGTACAGTTGTACAAATCTCGCGTGTCAACAAAAGTGGATGACCCTTATTTAAACCTCGATACTTTATTGTTTTTCTAGAAACCTTTGAACTCCTTTCATAAACCATGTATTCATTTGCCAGCAAAATCTATAAAAGTGTAATCGGAAATTTTGAGGAACAAACATCCGAAGAGGATGAAAATTCCAAAGACCAAACCTCTTCAAGCGAGCAAGCGAGTGTAAAAGTTTCAGAAACTTCAAATAATCACAAAGAATTTGCGGTTCCAGCCCCCGTACCAAAAATGCAAGTTTCCAATTTTAACGGTGTGTAAAAACTTTTTGAACTTTAGTCACAACACAGAATTTCTCATGAATTTTTTTTTTTTTTTTATCTTAACTATAGGCACAACATTGGATGATGTTGCAGAATTCCCAAGCAATGACAGTCCACAACGTGCCAAAAAACGTACACCACTCGAGAAAGCTAATAAACTACGACAAAAAATAGCTCTAGAACCCGGCCATTCTCCTTTAGATTGGGCAAATTTGACTAATAGTGGAGCTAACCTTCGAGTAGGTCAACGAATTTTATTTACAAACATGACCTCCTATGTCGGATCAAAACTTATTAATATTTTTTGTTAACAGGGAGTTTCGGAAATTAAAAAGTATACAATCGACGAAGTCAATCATCATAAAACTAAAGATGATGCATGGACGGTCTTTAATGGCAAAATTTATAACATTACTCCATATATCAAATTTCATCCTGGAGGTAAGTAGATAAGAATATTTATGATATGTTTATAAAAATTATTATTATTATTATTATTATTATTATTATTAAAAATGAAATAATTATTATGTTCATTTCAAAAGGTGAAAAAGAGTTAATGAGATCAGCTGGTAAAGATGGGACTAAATTATTTAGTAAGTTAAATTATTATATTATATATTAATTTGTTTTTTTTTTCCAAATTTTCATTTTCTTCTTTATTTCCTTTAGTGTCAACACATTCATGGATAAATTACGAATTCATGCTGGAAAAATGTTTTGTCGGTTTTTTAGCAGGAGAGCAGCGTAATTTATTAATCTAAATACATTGAACATTCATAATGAACATTTTAATTTAATTAAATCATTGCAAATTTGACACTCCAAAAGTTCATAATTTTCCTTGTTCTCGTAATTCTTGTTTCTCCTTATCGCTAAGTGTCCAGAATTCACTAATTTTACGATGATACCAATTTCGTACCTAAAATGTTCAGGAGATTAAATGAATTTCAAACAGATGTATTGAAAGTGTTAAATGAAACTTACAGGCACAAAACAATGATGATCTTGTTTAAAGTCGGCATATAACACGATATATGCTCCAGCGGCTAATACAAAACAAAGCATTTTAACATTTAAATAATAGTTCATGGTTCGAAAAACCAATTAACTTACCTACGGTTACAACTATACTACCAACATGATAAGATCTTGAAAAAGGTGATAAATATTTTGCTAAACCTAAATTTTGTACTCTTCTTTGATACTTTGAAAATAACGAAGAATCTATTATTTTTTTTGTTGGAAATGGCGATTTTGAAGCGAATTTATTTACTGGCATTATTCTTTTAATACATACAGTTTATATGAAAAAAGAAAAAAAAAAATACAAATACAAATAAAAGTAAAATGATGATGATCCCCTTCCATAAATGATAAAATTAACGAAAATCCCCTGTAAATTTATCGTCACCAATCAAATCCACCAACTAATTATTCGGGTTGCAAAAGACAACCACCGACAATTCGTTTCCTAAATTCGTTAACATAAATATCCATATTTTCGGTATCGTCCAATTTAACGGAAGAAGACATCACTGTAGGTCCAATTTCCTTTTCTAATCGAAATAACGATGATTTGATCTTTTCAATATAATCCCTTAATTCATTATTTAATTCTTGTTTTTCGTTAGATTCTTTTGTAACGACTTCATTTTTAGATTTAATCTTTTGGATTTTTTCACGAAGATTATCGATTTCGATTGAAGTTGTTTTGTTTTCTTTTTCAAGTTTACGTTGTTGAGTACGTTTACCTAGTAGTAAAAAATAAATAAATATTTTGAATTTACATTCAAAAGTGAAGGAGTTGACGAATTTTGATAATTACTTTGATCATAATTGAGAAATTTCTTTGTAAAAATGGGAAATCCAAGACGTTTTTGTAGACTCTCTTGTTCATCTGTGAATCAACATAAAAGTTTTTTTTTAATTTTGGGATCCCATTGATATAAATAAATTAATGTGAGCGATTTTACCAGGAGAATTATCAAAGTTTAAGGTATTGACGAAATCTTCATAAGATGCTTCAACGTTCTATACAAAAAAAAAGGTTTAATTCATCTCACACGTATTATGATATCATGTCATGGCACACACCTTTCGATTAGTCGATTTGGAGGTCGCGATGGTAAATTCCTTTGTATTATCGTCATCGTTAATATCTAAAGAATATTCGGATGAATCAGAAGTTTGTTCATTATAATCTGCTACTTTTCTTCCACTTCTAGTTAAACGTTGTTCTTGTTTAGAAGATTGATCATCTGTTGTTGTCGATGCGGTAAAAGGAGTAGCGGAAATTGTAGAAGCTTTTCCTAAAGATTTTTTTGTTGTATTCGCGATATTACTCTGACTAGAAATAATGATCCGACAATGCAAAGTCAATCCGTTACAAACGAGAAACTTGTAGAAAACAAAATAGTTATTGGGATTTTTTGATTTTTTATTTATTTATTTTTTTTTTACCTCATACTTTTTGCGCGTTGAGCTCGTGTAAGGGTCATTTTATGATTTATTTCTTTTTTATTTATATCTTGTATTTTTGAATAAATTATAATTATTAACAAGAGAAAACAAAAAGAGACGAAAAGAAAATTTGCTTTGATGATAAAAGAGAATAAAAAAAAAAAAAAAATCTTAATTATTTATCTATTTATTTTGCTCATTGTTAAAAGACCGACCTTGCATTGTAATCAAAATTTATATACCATTTGCGTACGTTTTTATATTGATTGAGCATTATATATAATATTTCCAAAATGTGGTAACAAGAGCACTTTTTCGTCATCAGTAAGGGGTTTATGATTCTGAACTTGAATTGACTTTTCTATAATGATATAATTAAATGTGAACTGCATTTTTATTTTTATTTATTTATTTATTTATTTATTTTTTGATATTATTTTATATAATCTGGTAAGAAAAAAAAAATAGATTCCTCATTCAGGTTAAACTTCCTTACCCATTTACAAAAATATACAAAATCGAAGGAATATATATATTTTTTATTATTATTAATTATCCCAAAATCGTGATTTAAAAATTAAATGTTTCACCAAAAAAAATTGTCACGTGATCAATTTACCTCTTTTTTTTTTTTTTTTTTTTTTTTTTTTTTTAATAAACGCTCTTATTAACGGTCTTTCCTTTTGCTTTAAATTTGTCAAGACTTTAAATAATTTAATTTCGTCTTCTGTCATCATCATTTTTTTTATATCAGATTCGGTAAGAGAGTCCTTTCCATCAAAATGAGCTAAGCGATGACGGACTTCGATAATTTCCCTCGCATACGATATATAATTATTCATACTTCCAAATTGGTCATGAATAACCTTTAACGAAGGATAACGATGGATCAATTCCTCTGATTTAAAATTATTAATGTTTATCTTTAAAAAAAAAAAAAAAAAAAATCCTTTCGTTAATTTATAGTAAAAAAAAAGTCGTTATCAAGAAGATAAATATTTTTAATATTTACTTTATCGTGTACTTGAACGAAATGTTTGATTTCATTAATGATCTCATATTTTATAAACGTCGATTTAATTTCTTCCTTTTGATATTTATCGAAAATTAATTCTTTTCTACCGATGTTATAAGTTCGTCGTATTAGAAGATGCAAGAAGGAATTCATGGATGGTATTAATTAATATGTTGTAAACGAATAAAATTATCATCGAACCTTTTATATAATTATTTCATCATATTGATTGATGAAGAGAGATTAATACATTATTATGATTTCTCAACCTTAATCTTTTAGAAAAGGTTATTGATGCCGAAACTTTGCGCCTTTGCAGCAAGGGTTGCATTTATCACAAAAGGTCATAAATGATGTTGTAAAGGTAAAAGAAAAATACGATTCTGCCTTTAATGATTTCAATCAATAACGTCATGAGACGAAATAGGTTGGTTGTAGAACGAACTTGGTGAAGAATAATCAATATTAGACACTTTTGCGCTTTCCGGTTTATAGAATTCATTGTTAATATTAATTTTATTGTGAATTGCTAATTGTTATATATATAAAGTATATTGTGCAAGCTTTTATTGAAGAGGTTCAATAATACCCAAATTATTCTATCCCCAAACGGTTAAATTTTTTCCTTTTAAACTTCTAGTTTTGCTCCAATGAATTGAAATAAGTAATAGGTCAACTAGGAGGAATAAAACCGGATGCTATTTTCAATTTTAATATTTACGCATATCCGACAAATTTTTAAAGTTAAATCTAAAATTTAAATCTCTCATTGAACAAGCAGTTTTTTGAAGAGTTTACCCTTTCCGTTCAGGAAAGATACTTCAGCAAGGGTAAGTCTTAAATAGTTCATACCAATTCATAACATACTAATTAAACCAGTCGTCAATTTACAAACTACCCTTAATACTTCAATGCTTAAGAAGGAATCAACTTACGCATCTCGTATTGAGATTCACAATCTTTTGACCTTGCATAAAAAAAAAAAGCTTTTGTTACGTTATAATAATCAATCATTTTTTCTTTTTGTTTCTTTCCTAGGGATGAGAACACCATTTCATGAGTGTGAGCACTGTACGCTATTATTTAGGATGACCACTAGCACTTTTCTTACGCGGCTTCCATTATTTCTCAATTTTCAAATATTATTTATAATTTTTGATAAAAAAGCAATCAAAATTTACCCCTGATTTTTAAACCAATTATTGATGATTAAATTTGCTACTATTTTTAAAATTGACTTGTTTGATTTCTTGTTGATTTCTTGTTGGTATCTTGTTTGATATCTTGTTTTATTCTTTTAATTTTTTTTACAAAAAATCAACCTCCGAATTGTTACACAACCAAATTTTATACGGCATTTATTTTATCCGTTGCCAGCAAAATCAACCTCCGAGATATTGTTACACAACAAAATTTTATACGGCATTTATTTTATCCGTTGCCAGCAAAATCAACCTCCGAGATATTGTTACACGACCAAAGTTCTCTTTATTAAAAATTATCTTTATTACACGCGCGATTAAAATATTAATTTTAATTTTTAAGAAAGTATATTTAAAAATTTTTTATTTTTATTTTTTTTTTTTACAGCAAAAATAATTTCTGTCTAAATAATGCTTGTTTATGATGATTCCCCTGATATTTTTTAATATCTGATCACGTGATAACCAATAATTTTGTCTTTGAGATCAACGACTGTTCGATCCCTGGGGAAAGGGTATTTTGGATCGGTTAAAAATTACCAACGCCGTGCTAAACAATTCAACAGGTATGATGAAACATGATAAATGAACCAAATTTTTATAAAAATAAAAAAAAAAGAAAAAAAATGTTTCACACAAACCTTATAAAGTCCTTCAACAAGTAGGGACGTTTCGGTCGCACCCCATTTTTGACGAGCTTTACGCCTGTCCAGTTTTCTTATTCTGGTTTTCTGGCCCTCTCTCTTCTGTTTTACTTACAGCAAGGTCTCGTATGGCATCCTACGTTTACCTAACGTCTTTACATCTCCGGTCACTAATATCTGGTTATTCCAAGAGATTCCAATGCGGCACTTTTCATATCATAAAAAGAATCAACTTTTTGTTTACATTAATGATTTAATTTAATGGTTTTTTTTTAAAAAAAAAAAAAAAAAGAAAATATTAATAAAAAAAATTTTTTTTAATTACATTATAAAACACGAATAAAAAATAGTTACGTTTGAAATCTCATCTGGAAAAATTACTTCAGACAAGATTACTTCTTCGTATTCAATTAATTTCGTATTTTTCATCTGTAAATGATCAATCAAAAGTCAATGGATAAATTAACATAATAATACAATATATAATAAGAACTTACCTCTCGTAACTCGTCGCCATGGATGAGACAAAGCTTGACGACTGTCAGGATTAACATTTAATAGTTTATTGATAAAATCAGTGATCATCTCAGAAACTGCGGGCTTATCAGCTGATCACGCGTTATTGTTTTCGCTTACACCATTACAAAATATAATGGAAAAAAATCTTTATATGAAAGGTGAGGGCCAATTTATAAAATTAACGTTATTAGATTTTTAGAAAGATTTTGATAAATTCATATCGATGGACTGATTATCATGTGATTTATAAACTTTAGTCTGAAAATCTCAGGATAATATATTCTATTTATTCCGTATATCAATATCTGAATTCATATTTAAATCCATTTCAAAATTCTTGATAACATATTATTTTAGAATTTTATTTAAATAAACCCGCTCAACATATTATAATAATATAACTATTAATTTAAATTCACATCCAAACAGACACGAACTATTCAAATGCCGTGCGTCACAAGAAAATGATAAATCAGTCATATAGAATTTTTTGACTTTGTTTTCTTTCCTTTTTTTCCTAGAAATGAATTTCTTAATTGAGGATATAATTCCAATAAGTATAAATTAGAAATATTTCATAAAAATAAAATAAAATAAAAAAAGCTTAATATTATATATAAAACGCGAAATCATTTAAATAAAAAAAAAATTAAATATATTTTAACTTCTCTAACCTTAAGTCTCAGCAATCTACCAGCTATAAATAGATTTTACCAATTCCACATAAAGAATCTTCTCTTGTCTGTTGACCACGAGCAATTAAACATTCTGCATACTTTTCAGTAACTTTAACATGGTAAGAATGCGGGGGTGATGAAACAAAATAAGAAACGGAAAAAGAAACAGATCTCTGTATCTGTTGTTCCATACACATGTATAATTTTAGTATTAGGTACAAGATGTTGAAAACGTATTTCGAAGTGAGGTATCTGAATGCTAG